CCTGCCAGTGCACAGATCGAGGGGGCACAGTCTGTGGGACTCTGTAGAAATCATCGCTCCTGATCTGTTTTCTATGTGACCATGGTCCTATCAGGAGCATGGTAGCTGCCCAGAGGACAGGTTGCCCATCGTAGACCCCTGCCTGCATGTGGGTACCTTCTACTGCAGCCTACTCCAGCCTTGGGAGGGGGCCCTCACATTTAGACCCATTAGACTCATGGGCAAAGGAATATGAACAGCCAGCCTGCACGCCTGAAAACGTCCAGCACCGCACACTGCAAGAGCAACATGAATCAAAATGACACCAACACATGGTCAGCATTTGAAAGACTGCTCGGAACTAGCATTAGGAAATTGTGCAGCTTGTATTTTGCTTCGGGAGATTTATTTATTATTTTTAATATGAGTTTACAGTACATGACTATATTTATCGAGGGCTGATGGTACATGTACAAAATATACCTTAATTTGGGTCGGGGATTTATTAGCTCAGCAGCTCAAGCACTTTCTTGGTAATCGTGAGGTCATGAGTTCAATCCCCCCCCAAAAGAGAAAGAAATATATCTTAATTCTTTGTGATGTGACCTTTCCTCCCTTCCCTCCCTGCTCCTTCCAACTTTTGATCCCCTTCACACTTCTATTTCATTTTTTTCTTCCATTTTTTTCCATTTGCTATCCTCCCCTCCCCTTCCTGTCTCTTTTTTCCCCACTCATTTGAAAAAGGTCTCTCTACTTCTTCTTCACTTATCTTTCATTTTAGTCCTTATTTACATTTGGGGGATCCTTATATAAAAGAAACCCTGCAATATTTAAGCTTATGTATCTGACTTATTTCACTTAATATTCTGGTCTCAAGGTACATTTCTTTGCCTAAAATGACACAAATTTATCTTTCTTATGGCAGAGTAGCACTCCATTGTGCGTAAAATACAATGTCCTTTATCCATTCATCTGTTGACGGGCATAGACACTGTTTCCAAGATGCAGTTATTATAAATTGTGCTGCTAATACTGTGGGTAGGCATGTACTCCATGTAACATGATGACTTTAACTCTTTTGGGAAGGTACTAGAAGGGGAATACCTGGGTCAAATGCAATTTCTATTTTTAGCTTTTTAAGGAATCTCTACACTGAAAGAGAGGTTTAAGTGATATAAGGTTTTGGAAAATAATCTGACAACACCTATTAAAAATACAGATACATAGCATCTTGACTCAGGAGTCTTACATTGGGAAATTTCTCCTACAGAAATAAAAACATTAGCACTGTTTATAATAGAAGAAACAAGACTGGAGCCATCCTAAATAGTCACAGCAGAGGAATAGCTGGCTAAATTAGGATATCTTTGTCTATGAATATTAGCCAGACAAGAAAAAAGTTAGTTAGATTTATATGTATTTAATAGAAATATACAATAAATGTATTATTTACAGGGAAAGGATAAAAGAAAATAATAGAGACACGTAGTTTGTATTTTTTAATTTTTTGTGGTTCTGGGAATTGAATCCAGGGCCTTGCATATGCCAGCTAAGTACTGTGCCACTGAACCAGAACCCCAGTCTACCCGAGGTTTACCTTTGAATAAAAATATGAAAGAAAAACAAATCCACAAACATTTACACACTCACACACACACACATCCCACAAATACATTTGAGTAGAGGAAAAGATGTGGAAAGTTATTAACTAAACTGTTCAGATTGTACATCCAAGGGTATAATTAAATGCAAAGAATAGATTATTGTTTTTCTTAAAACAGTATATATTTGATTTATTACACATGCTACAATGGGCAGGCTTTTTCCTGTAATTAAAAAAAAGCTTGGTGAAGCATTTCGCATTAGACACAGCCCACCCATATTTGGGGGTGCTGTCCTACGGGACTAGGCACTGGGCGCCCAGCCTTTCAGGGCGTTCCATGGAGCAGTTAGGAAGTGGAGCTATCTGTGCTGCAATGAGAGCCTGCTGCAGCCTGAGCTATGAAGACACAATGTAGATGGCATGGCAGTACACACAGCACCAGCCTGTCAGTAGAAACAAGACACACAGGTGTGTGCTGTGACTGCACAGAGGAGGTGCTGGAGGGAGGGTGAGAGACTTTTTGGCAGCAGAGGCCTAACACCCTCCAGGATGGGAGGGTATGAGACTCCTCCTGTGTTGTCTGCACTTTACAAGAGCAGATTATAAATAAGTAAAAGCTAAGTGCACCCCTGACTGTATCCTAGAACTCAGGAGGCTGAGGCAGGAGGATTGCCAAGAGTTCCAGGCCAGCCTGGACTAGATAGTGAGTTCAAGACCAGCCTAAGTTACATAGAGAGACCCTGTCTCAAAAAAGAAAAAGAAAGTTACTTGTTTCAGGAAAAGTCATTATGAGTCGTTTTGTTTTTGTCTTTATGTCTGTTTTTGTCCATATTGAAAGGCTACGCTACGTTCTGAGGTTATTCTCCAACCAGTGGTGTAAATACCCAAAGCAGCCTCAAGCTCAAACAAACCATCATTTCCTCCACAATGTTATCTGACCTGGAGGTGTATATAAAATAAGTGTCATAATCAATAAGGCTGTGTTTAACCTAAGGATAGTACTATGCACAACTGCACAGTGGTTTATAGTCTAGGAGGGGCAAAAGTCCCCTGTGAGGAATTTTTCTGAGTGAAAATAAAATAGAATTCAGTATATTATGCAAGCAGTAATTTTAAAGGCACATTTTAGCAGAACAGCGATCATGCCCTTCTTATAAACACTTACAAAAATAATCAAATAAATGTATCAGTAGTCTGCAACATCTCTGCCCAGAGCTATTAGGTAAGCAATTATTCACACACACACACACACACACACACACACACACACACACACAAAGCTCTCCCCACACAAAGACAGCTCATGTCTTTGGTTAAGGGATAGTGTAAAACAAACTGAAAATGTGTTTTCAAAGGTGCTTGGACATCTCTGACGTTCTCAAACAAGCAGTCTCAACTATATCCCTGGCCCAAAAGAAGCTTTTAAACGCTTTTAAACATCAGTAAAAATAAACCTTGCAGAATTCTCAGTTATGATGAACTTCTATGGAAAATGTCATTCACATACTGAGCTATGTCCTCCAGCCCTTTTTTAAATTCTGAGACACTGTCTTGCTAAGTCACTAAGTTGCCCAAACTGTGCTCAAACTTGTGATCTTCTTCTTGCCTTAGCCTCGCAGCGTGCTGGGATTAGGAGGCTCTGCCACCACGCCTGTCTTAGTCTAAGCTTCTTCACGCATGGCTGGTTCCAAGAGTCACCGGGCCAGATCTGACTGGAGGCAAAAAGACTACTTCTTGTTTACTCCACATCTTGAAAGGAAAAGTGAGGAGTCTGCAGAGTCTGCAGCGGTTGTTGGCTGCCTTTGCAGACAATCTACCGCAAAACTTAAGTGCAAGTTGTTAAATCCTACTAGCTACAAAGTACCTTTCTGCTCTTCTCCCTGGCTCCTGTTCCTGCCTCGCATGTGGGTGAGATGACTGGAAAAAGCTTCAGCTGTCATCTTGCATCCATGAGGCAACCTGGAAGATGAGAGCTGCTCACTGAGGATAGCAAAAAAAGAGCGAGGAGGCCAGGCTCCTAATGAGATAGAGGAGCTGTCACACCAGCTGAGGACTGCCTACTGCCAGAGTATTTACACACCAGACAAAATACAGACTTCTGTCTCCCTGATGCAAAGGTTATTTGCTTTTTCCATTGTATGAAGCATGGAAGGCCCAGATTCAAATATGAGCAACTAACAGAATTACACAGAAAACCCACAATGCAACATCTCTTGTTCGTAAAAATATAACTAATAGCACATAGTTTAGCTAATTGCTAACTTCTGTTAGAACCACATGGAATATATTAAAGCACAATTCAAACTAAAGCCTTAGTGGCAAGCACTTTGGCTGACAGGTAATAGGAATCAGTCCCTGCAGGCACAAACAGTGCTGGAGAAAAACCCCTTCATACCTTTCAACCAAAATGAAGCTCAAGTGATGTCCTGGAAGTCTCATCATTTAGGAAGAAACAACATGCCAAGTTCAGAGAGGGTCATCATTTGAAGTCACCTCCCCACCTTCCATCCTTTTTCTTATTCAGTCAGCAGTCCCCATCCACTGAGGTTCTCTGCCATGTCTGAGGCAGAAAGCTAATCCATCCTTTCCCCTTTCCTCTCAAATGTCTAAAACATGAAGCAGAATGGGCACCTGTTTTATGGCAGGTGTACACAGGAGGCCCCTAGAACTGGCAGGTAGAGGACGGGAAGCACAGGTGGGCATTGCAGGGCTGACTGGGCACACAGGTGTGAGTGTGCAAGGGCAGACGTCTCTTCAACCCTCGAGTGTAGGACCAGGACAAAGGGCTGCAGCCACACACAATAGATTTCTTTTAAAAAGTAGTTGAACTTAATACTATAGTATTACTTCACTCATGTAGAATTTGGCAAAATGTTTGCATACGTCTCAACTTACTGAAATATAGTCCCATCTATTTTAAACGAGTCACTAGCAGTCTAAAACAAATGGACATCTTGTTTCTATAAATACAGAGTAAGTACTACTACTACTGCGCACAATGGTGAGACCTAGAGTAAATAAATCATTTATTATGCTGCTTGGCAACACTTTCGTAATAAATGCTAGTTATTTACAAGCAATGCTTTTCTAGAAATTCCTCTCGGAATGTTTTTCAAGGTATAGAGAAGCACCCCTTGTAACTGATCAAAGCCAGCTAAACGTTCATCTCCCACCACTTGAGGATTTGTCAGAAGGAAACTTGTTGCCTCATGCAGCACGGTTTCTATCCCTACCTCCAGGACAAAGCTCCGGCGATAACCAGGGATCCTCAGCCAATGAGCTCCTCCGGCTCCTGGGCTCGGCCCAAGTGCGCGCCCCTCCCGGCAGGCGTCCAGCAGCACCGCGCCCCGCGCGCCCCGCCGAGCCGGGGGACCTCGCCGGCTGCTCTCAGAGGTTTTCTTTTTAAATCCCTTCTTACCTTCTAGTCTTTGCTTTCCGTTGCCAATTGACGTCTCGGGTTTCAGCACGCACTTTTTCCCCAGCACCCCCAAAGCGGCGCTGCTGCTCCCTTCTGCAGCACGTTCCCCCTCGCGGTGACCCCTGGCTCAGGGCGCTGACCCCGGCTCTGCTCTGGTACAAAACGAGCTCGCCAAGGTGCGCGAGGGGATTGCAGACGCTCGGCTCGGGAACAGTCACCACTCTCCGCCCCCGGCTCGCCGTCTCATTAGCAGGACACATTTCCACCGCTCCCGCTGCGAAGCCGCTTGGTGGAAAAGGGTCCTGGGCGCGATCCCCCGGCCCCGCAGCCAGAGAAGGCGCAGCTGTGCCCAGGCCCCTGGTCTGGACTCGGGGCGCGCAGCCCTCCGCTCCAGACCATTTTGACCCCCACTGCTCGAGTCCGAAAGCCCCGACCCTGACCACGACCCGAGTCGCTGGACGTGGCTCCCTTGGGTCCGCCGCGCAGCGGGTCTCGAGCTCCCTCGACCCCTCGCGGGCCCGGGCGCACGCTCCCCGGGATCGCATCGGACCCAGGCTCACCTGGCCCCTCGGGTCCCGGGCGCGGCCACACCTGGGTCCCCCGCTGCCCGCGCCGCTCCGAGGAGGCTTTGCGCGGCCGCAGCCCCGAGTCCGGGCTGGGCGGTCAGCGGGGAGTCCCGGCCAAGTTGTCCCGGTGCCTCGGAGGAGAGGGCTTCTGGGGATCCGTGCACCCAGTTTCGCGCGGCTTTGCGTTCCGAGTGGCTCCTCTAGGCCAGTTTCTCTGAACGCTAGCCGAGGTCTCCCTGGCGCCCTTCCCTCTGATTAGGGATTTGGCGCCGCGGGGCAGGAATCCATGCGAAACGCAAAACTACTTTTTCCCCCTGCTGGTGACTGTTGGGAACTGCATTTGCTGAGCAAACCGGGTAAGATTTCCCTTCCTCTCAACCGCGCAGGTTGGGGTGGGGGAGTTTCCTGCCATGTCAAAGGTTTTAAAAATTTGCTTTAAACCAGGCGTGGTGGCGCATGCCTGTAACCTAGCACTCGGGAGGTTGAGTCAGGAGGATTGCTGCAAGTTCGAGGCCTGGGTTACAACAGTGACTTCAGTGGCAAGCTGAACAGTACAGTAAGACCCTGTCTCAAACAACAAATAAAAGTTTCCTTTTATACATTTTAAATTTTTTTTATATTATCACATGCACCATACTAACAGAGGGTACATGGTGTCTGCCTGTAATCCCAGCACTTTGGGAGGCTGAGGCATTAGAGTCACAAACCCAAGCCTATCTTGGGCAATTCAGTGACTTATAAGACACTGTCAAAATAAATAAAAACAAAAAAGTAACAGCGCTTCAGTGTGAAGGCCCAGGATTCCATGGGGCAAAAACAAGACACCATTGTTTTTCTGTTTCTTGTTTCTTATTAGGGAAAACTGCAAATATAAAAGTAGGCAGTTGAGCCTAATGAGGATCTAGCATTTGGTAACAGGTACTATTTCAGCAAATAAGAAGTACAAAATCTGAGCAAAACTTTTTTTAAAAAGTTATTTGAAGCCATTGGAGATTAACCAAAAGAAGACATGGAGACCACACTGAAAGATGAGCTGAAATTGCTGTGATTCCTGTGTGCCTAGCATTTTAGGTGAGGACAATGTCCAATCCCTGGGCAGCCAGGGCTTCTGGGAGCCACAGCTGATTGGCCTGAAGAGAACAGAAAGCTGTTGTAGGCCAGTAGAATGGGAAAGTTACCAGGTAATCCAGGAAGGGAGGACTGTATGGAGAGGCTGGCTTCAAACTGTGTGTCTTGTTAGGTTTCTGTTACAACGTAACAAGTTTCCACACTTTCTGTGGCTCAAAACAACACAGATGAAAGCCTGCAGTTCTAGAGGTCAGGAGTGTTGTGTAGATCTCACTGGACAAAATCTAGGTGCTGACAGATTGCATAGGTGCCTTCCTGGAGGAAGAGGCAAATTCTCCCAGATCCAATTCCTCTGGAGAGCACCACAACTGTTCATGTATGTGTTGTCTGATTTCAGAGAACTAAGTAAATACAGAAGAAACTGATCCCGTAAAAAGCCTAAAATATTTACTATCTGGTCCCTCACTGGAAAAGTTTAGACCTGCTTTGACCATCTCCACCTAACTGATATTTATAAAACATCACACCCAACAAGTGCAGAATACACAGTCTTTTCAACTAATGTGGATCATCCAACAACTAGACGATGGATTTGGTCATAAAGTCTCTCTCAATATACAAATATTCCTTGACTTAGGATGGAGTTCTATCTGGGCAACATCTTGAAACTCCAGTTACATCTGGAGTTACAACTTGACGATACCATGTAAGTAAAAAAAAGAAAGAAAGAAAGAGGTTTTTCTACATTTAATTACTAAACATCACAGTTTAGCAACACAGTACATCATAAGGTGTCATTGTTTATCCTGGTGACTGAATGGGTGACACTGCTAGAGCCCTTCCACCCCAGAGACTCTCCCTCCCAAGAGACAGGCTGCTTCACTGAAGTCAGCTCTGAGACACAAAAGAATTCTATCTTGCAGACTCCAAATATGCCTCCCTGTACCTTCCACTTTCTTCATTCTCCTGGACCCAGAGAGAGAACCATTCTTATTTCTCTTCTGCATCTCTTTACCAATATTGAGAAGGCCCACGCTGTGGTCCCCCAGTATGCATTTATTCCTCTGGACTTGTCATCCAATTATTCCTACTATTCCCCAGGTGATACAGTTGCCAGACTCTTCAGTGACTGTTCTCTCTGGGCCAGAAGTCAGAGTCCTGGACCATGGCCCTGCCTCTGGCTATGATGCTCCACGATCCATGTGTGCTGTGACCTGGGCAGAGGGCAAACCTGGGTGACAGACAGGGTAGAAGCCCAGAATGGATGCATTAACTTTTCCAGGCTTAGCATCCTATCTGTAAAGAAAAGATGAAATATATTTTTCCAAAAAGAGCTTTGTTCTCAAATCAAATGAAATAATGTTATTGAATGTACACAGTATGTAATAGGTGCACAGTAAATGTCAATCAGTTTAATAATTTAATAAAAGCTGTCCCCAGGTTCCTTCATCTGTAGAATCCACATTCATTGGGAAAGATGATAAGGAGATGAGAGGGACCTGTACTAGAGTGAGAGTATATTTTACCATGTATCTTTATCACCATTGAAAAGATGGGTTAAATTTAAATCATGAGCTAGTGATACTTTGCCATTGAAAGATACTCATTATTTTGAAAATTAGTAAATAAGGGAAAGAAATTAACCATTTACCCTGTGTATATGGTATACCCTTAATACCCTTATACTGTATATGAGTTATCTGCATAGTAATAAAGTAGATATTTTCTTAGGTTTTTTTAAATAAGATGTGTGTGTGTGTGTGTGTGTGTGTGTGTGTGTGTGTGTCTTTTTAGACAGGATTTTCAGCAGTTCAGGCTGGTGTGGAACTCACTATATCCCAGGCCGGCCTGGAACTCACAGTGATAGTCCTGCCTCAGCCTCACAAGTTCTGGGATTACAGGCATGCACCACTACACCTGGCCTTGAGACAGGGTCTTGCTATGTAATTGAGACTAGCCTTGAACTCACTATATAGCTTAGGCTGGTCTCAAACTCCCAGAAATCCTCCTGCCTCAGCCTTAAAAGTTCTAGAATTACAGGCATGTTCCACTACATCTGGTGGAAATTTTTTTTTATAGAAATACTTCAGCTAATAACTGAAGAATGAAACACAGAATTAGAATACCACCGGTTAACAACTCTGAATGAACGAATGACCTGGGCATTGAGCATCAATAGCTGCTCACACCACAATATGAGGCAAACAAGCAAGCATGTGTCTGCTGATGAAGAAACATCATCAACCATGACATACTCTTGCCAATAAAATCAAATCTAAAGATTGTCTTTCCTGCGAGCCATGCAGACTATTCTGGGTCCAGGAAAAGAGAAGCCAGTCCACTGTTCCTGAAAGTCAGCAGAGGCCATGCTGGGTCTGGGAAGAGCACATCAAGAAGCTAGTAAGCCGTACAAACCACGTAGGGCCCAGTAAGAGAGCAGTAGATTGCCCTTCCCGTGCAGCACAGGGGCTCAGAATCAAGACCTCTTCGCCCCATAAGCAACCAGCTGGCTAACCTGATAGCAACCAAGGTACAAAAACAACTAAATGCTTGTATTGTTTGACTGACTTTGCAGGACTAAGGTGAGCAATATAAGCATCTATTAGGAGGATGACAGTATGCAATGTGGCAAGTATGGGGGATTTGCTTCTGTCTTGTTTTTGAAATCTAATATAATTGTCACTGATTTGTTTTGTTCTGATTTATTGTTCTGTTTTATTCAATGCTCTGTTTTATTCAATTTTACTGTATCTGAGGAAATGGACAACTATTGTGAAGTTAAGATATATTATGGTAGCCATTGTTGGTGACCTATTGTCCTGTTTTGAAGTTATGCACCACTTTCACTGTTTTGTTTTGATTGGCTTTATTCCCTTTTGTATTGTTGGGTTTTATTCTCCTTAAAATAAAAAAAATCAAATCTAAATCTGATCATGTCTCTGGATCTAGCTACCAAATGATAGAAGACAGAGAAAGCTATTAAATTATGAGACAATGTGAAACTCTACATTAAAAATAGCCAATTTTCTTCAAATAAATTACAAAGCAAAAGGGAGGAATAGAGGGTATTATGGTTTGCATCTACATATCTACCCAAAGCTTCGTGTAATCATGGGGGCAGGCTTCTAGAATTTGTGTTTAATTCATTTTCTAGTGCTGGGATTATGGGTGTGAGTGCTACACCCACTTTAGGTGGGTGGGACCTACATCCAATAGAAGGGACAGGGCTGGGGATTTAGCTCAACAGCATAAGTGTCTGCCTGGTAAGTGCATGGTAGTGAGTTCAATCCCCAGTATATGACAGAAAGAGTCTTCTCTCTATGTGCTCCTCCCTTTTTCTCTTGTTGCTTTTGCTGTCTTCCACCACCATGAACTATTGCCCTCTGCCATGAGCCACCATGCCTTGGAGCCAGCTAATTATGAGCTAAATACAGCTTTCCTTCCTTAATTTTGGGTGTTGGGTATTTTGTCTCAGCAATGAGAAAAAGAGGAACCAAGCCAGAGGAGAAACTATAGAGCAAATTTTTAAAAATCTATCGACCATTTATGATGTGGGGATCTTATTTAGATTTTGGTTTAAACAAACTTTAAAAACCATCATGTATATGAGACAGCTGGATATTTGATAGTATAAAAGAGTTATTTTTTTCCTTTTGGTGTTGTTGTTATTCTTAAAATCCATATATTACAGTTATCTGGTGAATACTTGCAGTTGAAATGGTAGATTCTTGGGACTTGCTGGTAAAATCATATTGGAAGAAAAGAACGTTGAGAGTATTAAAATAAAACTAGATTGACCATGAAGGACAATTATCAGCAGTGAGTTTATTACATTTATTTTTTCTTGTTTTAAAAATAATTTTATGATGAAAAATTTCCATCATATACAAATTAAACACAACAGTACGATG